ACAAGGCACACCCAATTTCCTCCATCTTGTCCCCTTTGGACCCCTCATCTAGAATCCTAAAATTTTACTTTTGCACCCGTGCCACACTTAATTATCATTTATATCAAACACTCAGAGCTGGTAATTGATCCTGTAAGATTGAAAACTCTTTTCCATGGACAGAGATCACAGACAGTGTCTCTGGGGGCTCTGTCCAGGGGGGTTCTGACCCCTGCCAGGGTCCCAGGGCAGCCAGAGGGAAGCTCTGCATTCCCACACTTCCTCAGGTTCAGGTTTGTCTCCTTGGATTGATTTTGCTGCAGGTGCTGTTAAAGCCCTGGGATGTGGCAGTGGTCACTCTGCTGACACCCGAGTGGCTCCAGGGGTTTTGTTTAATATTCCAGGGGTCTGGCAGTCTGCATCCATCCATTTTCATCCTGCCAGCAGTGGAACTGCAGAGTGACAGAAATCCGGGGTGACAAGGCCTGTGCTGGGCTCGTTTTCTCAGCTTTGCTGAAATGAAACGTTCCTTTTCCTCCGAGGGAGAGGACTCAGCTGTGATTTCAGCCAGGGAGGAGAAATCCCAAGCAAAGCTGGGATTTTTATCCAGCAGCATGGAAAATTCACCTTCAAATTCAAGGCTCCAGGATGACAGGGGCCACTGGGAGCAGGACATTTCCAGGGGCTTGTGGTGGCCAGGTGGGCTCATGCTCAGCTGGGTGGAAGTGGGTTAGGAAGGAGGAGAAGGGGAAGAAGAATTGGATGGTTGGTCTGTTTTGCCAGCATTCCAGATTTTTTCCCCCTTTTCCCATCATTTCAGCAGTCAGAGATCCCTCCCTTTTTCAAGAGTGTGGCGGGTCCACAGCCACAGGAAGGCTCAGCCTTTGCCCAAAGAGCTGCCCAACTCCACAGCCAGCTCCAAAAGGGCCTTTTCTACTCAAAGCCCTTCAATAATTTAGGCTCTGATTATTTTTTGCTGCTCCAGCTCATTTGTTGGCTTCGTGCTGCCAAGGATGATGGAGTAAAACTATCTGGAGTGAGACTTAAAGCAATGGGATTTTCTCTTCTGGATGTCCAGAGAAGAAAGGAAAATTGATGGGCTCTGAAAGGCTTCCTTTGAGCTCCAAAAGCCAAAAAAACACAGGAGAAATTCAGATTCACCCCCCACAAAAACCCCACCTGAGCCTCCTCCCTGCCAGGGGGCCCCAGAAGGATTTGAGTGCTTTAAACAGGGAGCAGATTGTGCCCATCTCCCTCCTCCCCTTATCTCCACTGACAAATATAATTACAGCTTCACTTAAAGTGCTGCAAGTGAATTGTGGAGAGGAGAAAAATGCTGTGTGCATCTGCCTGCAGCAGGAAGGAGCTGACTCCTGCTTTTCTGTGATGGCTCCATCCATCTCCAGCACTTCCAGGGTGGCATCTCCAGGCAGAGCTGGCTCTGCTAAATAGAGATGATTCCTGCACGAAGTGCATCTCCAGGAGGATAAAAACTTCTCAAAATGCAGGATTTTGGGGCTTTAAAAAAGGATGGTTTTTATGCATGGTACAGGTGGGTTTTCTGCTTTCCCTAAATGTGACCCTGAGCTGGAGTCCTGCCACCCTCCAGGGTCACTTGGAGGACAAACAGCTCCTGAGAATCCTGGGATAATCTGGATTTAGAGGTTGTGTAAATCAGCCCCTCACCCCCTCGCTGATAATTTAATTTTCTTGGTGGGACAGAGCTCAGTGAGCAGAGAGGGGCAGGGAGGAGTCTCAGGGAAAGGGAATCCTCATCATTCCCACCCCATCCAGGCTGGATTGTCACCCTCTTTTCCTTCTTTATTCCCCTTTCACACCCCAGGCCAGCTCATCGTTTTCATCATTTCCAGCAGTATTTGCCAGGCTGGGAATTTCTCGGTGCTCTTTGGTTCAAAAAAATTACTTCCAGGAGTTGCTGAGAGGGGTTAACTCCTGGAATTAATTCCTGGAGTTAATTCATGGAATGGGAAGGGAAGGGACCTCAAGGATCACCTCATTCCAACCTTCCACCGTCCCAGGGTGCTCCAAGCCCTGTCCAGCCTGGCCTTGGACACTTCCAGGGATGCAGGGACAGCCCCAGCTGCTCTGGGCATCAAAAATCTACTTCCACATTCTGTGATTTCCACACTTAATTGTACAGTTCCATCCTCTTTGGTCACCTCTGCTTTAATTTGTTTTGCACAAAAATAATTGGGGTTTTTATCCCCTCACTTTTCTTTTTTTTTTTTTTTTTTTTTTTTTTCCCGGCTGGGTCTGAGGATGTGTTTAATTTTAGGCCGATTCTCGATTCTTTTTAATGTTTAATCCAAAGTTCCCCTCCCAGAGCAGGGCTGTGGCTGTACATAAGTCACATTTCTGGAAATCAGCATCACTCCAAATTGGAATTTGATTGTCAGCAGCCCCTTGGGAATGCATAGATCCTTCCTGTGCAGGGCTGTGTTGGATCTGGGAAGGTTCTGGAGCAGCTGAGGGAGCTGGGAAAGGGGCTCAGCCTGGAGAAAATGATCCTGTGATTCAACAAAGGGATGGAGAACTCCATGAGGGAAAAGAATAATGCTGCCACGTAAAGAAACAAATATAAATCAGTGAATAAGGTTGGGCTGGAAATTCAATCCCAAACTTTACCTTCCCTGTTACAGAAGTGTTTTGAAGGAGCCAGCAAGGGTAGAAATCATTGATATGGCACAGGAATCTCTGCTTGAGGCCACGGGACACGGGGATTGTGGGGATGGGGCTCGCAGATCCAGGAGATCTCCTCACAATCCCATTATTTAATTGAAGTGTTTCAGGGCAGCCTGGCTTCAGGCTCTGCTGATCACCCCAGCCAGGATGTCAGCTCCAAAGTGCAGCTTGAGTGAGGCCTTGGACTCGGATATTTGGGATGCAGTGCCCCAGATGAGGGTGGAATGTGGGATTACAGAGGGTTCCTCTTGCCACGGAGCTGCTCCTGCAGGGAGGAGGTTCAGGGCTCAGCCCTGGGTAAAATACGAGGGGTGGAGTGGTGGAGCTGGAGCTGCTCTGGTGGCTGGGAGAAAATCCCAGAAGGGTTTTCAAGGGGGTCTCAGTGGGAAGGAAATTATCCATGAGCAGTTCCTGGGTGTTGCCTGTGGTT